AATTTAAAAATTTTCTTTACACATCAATGGTCCTTAAAATCTAGGTTAATGTTTTATATAAATATATATGTATATTGTGGTTAGTTTACATTTAGTTGGTATTAGTTAAAGTTTGTATATGTAATGGTAGTGGTATCGGAAACCACTCTTGACATAATGTCCCACGTCATGTCATACCAATCTGTTGGTTATTAACAAACTAACTACAAACAGCCCAACTACTTTTAGGTAGATTTAGTGATTCAAGGAGCTGTGAGGATAACGAACAAAGTACTACCAAAAAATTTAATTATTTATTTTTAAGTGTGTGTATGTGTGTATAAGTGTGAAGAGGATTAACACAAAGTTTAAATTTTCTAAAACCAAATTTTCAATATCAACATTTTGAACACTATTTTCAAAGGATGCAAATTTTGAAACAAGAATTCCTCATGTGTGTGTATAAATGCATGTGTGTTGTGTTGTATATATATCGAGTGATTGTGTGTGTGAAATTTCTTTTCTTTTTTTGGGGTAGGGGATGCTCTAGCAAACATTTCCAGTGCTTCTACACAGGCTTATGTTGGGAACCATGCTTTCTACAAACTACTAAACATGGGGTGTCTTTTTAAAAGAAAATCTTACCAATTGTTCGTTTGTTTGATTTTTTTATTTGACTTTAATGCATTGCCTATAATTAGGGGTTAGTTTCGTATTTTGTTTGATTTGGCTCGATATTCTGATGATGATAATAATTGATTTATATAAAAAATATATGGACAGCATAGTGCTTCGATTTTTTTTTTTGTGATATTTTTTATTATTATTATGTATTTTTTTATTTATTCAAACAATTCTTCCTCTTCGGCAGCTAGTTGTGCAAAATGATAAAATAGTGAAATAAAAAAATATATTTTTTGTTAGATTTTTTTTTAAATATTATTTGCTGATATATATCTACATATGTACATAAGGAAAATATACACAGAAAAAATTTAATTTTTCAAATTTTCTGTATTAATAAAGAAAAAGAAAATTTGGAAATTAGGGTCCAATAAAATTTTTGGCGACCAATATTTTGTTGGGCCGAATATCTTTTGGGTTTTAATGTGTTCTACATATAATTGAAATATGTATGAAAGCTGTGTTGGTACTCCACTACCAGTGATATGGTGATAAATTTAAGTTCTCGAAGAAAAAATTAGATTAAAACCAGTAAGGAAAGTAGTAAAGTCGGACTGGGCCGACTATATGATACCCTTCACCATTTTGGGTATATTCAACATATATATCCTAACAGACGTCGCGTGTTTGTTATGTATCTATATCTGAAACGATTTCAGGGAAACTTGTCAGATACTAATTTATATTACTTCAGTACGTTGTGTCAATCGGCCTAGATATATATCTTTTCACGAAGTTTAGCAACGTCATAAATCTGAACCGATTTTCACGATTTCGTGCAAATCGAAAAATATATAGAGACTTTAGTGCACCATTTACATAAAATCGGACGAAAATATATATGGGAGCTATATCTAAATCTAAACCGATTTTGACGAAACTTATTACATATCATTCTGGACCTAATTCAGTTCGATATGCGAAATTTCGTGCAAATAGGGACTTTGATGCCTACAACGGATGAAAATATATATGGGAGCTATATCTAAATCTGGACCGATTTCCAGGAAATCTAACACACATCATTCTACTATTAATTCATTACGCTCTTCCAAATTTCATGCAAATCGAAAGATATTTAGAGACTTAGGTGACCCATTTACCTTAAATCGGACGAAAATATATATAGGGACTATATCTAAATCAGAATCGATTTTCACGAAACTTTGCACACATCATTCTAGACTCAATTCAATATGCTGTGCCAAATTTCGTGCAAATCGAAAGATATTTAGGGACTTTGGTGCCCCATTTACCTTAAATCGGACGAAAATATATATAGGGACTATATCTAAATCAGAATCGATTTTCACGAAACTTTGCACACATCATTCTAGACTCAATTCAGTATGCTGTGCCAAATTTCGTGCAAATCGAGAGATATATGGGGACTTTGGTGTATCATTAACCTTAAATCGGACGAAAATATATATGAGAGCTATATCTAAATCTGAACCGATTTTCACGAAACTTAGCACACATCATTCTAGCCTGAATTCAGTATGCTGTGCGAAATTTCTGGCAAATCGAAAGATATTTAGGGACTTTGGTGCCCCATTTACCTTAAATCGGACGAAAATATATATAGGGACTATATCTAAATCAGAATCGATTTTCACGAAACTTTGCACACATCATTCTAGACTCAATTCAGTATGCTGTGCCAAATTTCGTGCAAATCGAGAGATATATGGGGACTTTGGTGTATCATTAACCTTAAATCGGACGAAAATATATATGAGAGCTATATCTAAATCTGAACCGATTTTCACGAAACTTAGCACACATTATTCTGGGCCTAATTCAATACCCTATGCCAAATTTCGTGCAAATCGAAAGATATTTAGTGACTTTGGTGCACCATTTACCTTAAATCGGACGAAAATATATATCAGAGCTATATCTAAATCGAAACCGATTTTCCTGAAACTCACCACTCATCATTATAGACTCAATTCAGTATGCTGTGCCAAATTTCGTACAAATCGAAAGATAAATAGAGACTTTGGTGCACCTTTTGTCTTAAATCGGACGAAAATATATATGGGAGCTATATCTAAATCAGAACCGATTTTCACGAAACTTAGCACACATCATTCTAGCCTGAATTCAGTATGCTGTGCAAAATTTCTGGCAAATCGAAAGATATTTAGGGACTTTGGTGCCCCATTTACCTTAAATCGGACGAAAATATATATAGGGACTATATCTAAATCAGAATCGATTTTCACGAAACTTTGCACACATCATTCTAGCCTGAATTCAGTACGCTCTTCCAAATTTCATGCAAATCGAAAGATATTTAGAGACTTAGGTAACCCATTTACCTTAAATCGGACGAAAATATATATAGGGACTATATCTAAATCAGAATCGATTTTCACGAAACTTTGCACACATCATTCTAGACTCAATTCAGTATGATGTGCCAAATTTCGTGCAAATCGAGAGATATATGGGGACTTTGGTGTATCATTTACCTTAAATCGGACGAAAATATATATGAGAGCTATATCTAAATCTGAACCGATTTTCACGAAACTTAGCACACATTATTCTGGGCCTAATTCAATACCCTATGCCAAATTTCGTGCAAATCGAAAGATATTTAGTGACTTTGGTGCACCATTTACCTTAAATGGGACGAAAATATATATCAGAACTATATCTAAATCGAAACCGATTTTCCTGAAACTTGGCACACATCATTTTACGCTTAATTTAGTATGCTGTGCCAAATTTCGTGTAAATCGAAAGATATTTAGTGACTTTGGTGCATCATTTACCTTAAATCGGACGAAAATATATATGGGGGTTATATCTAAATCTGAACCGATTTTCACGAAACTTAGCACACATCATTCTAGACTTAACTCAGTACCCTGTGCCAAATTTCGTACAAATCGAAAGATATTTAGTGAATTTGGTGCACGATTTTCCTTAAATCGCACGAAAAAATATATGGGAGCTATATCTAAATCTGAACCGATTTTTCCCAATTTCAATAGGGTTCGTCCTTGGGCCAAATAAGTGACCCATGCCAAATTTCATCCCATTCGAATAATAAATGCGACCTGTACTTTGCTTACAATTTAACATGGACAGACAGACAGACGGACGGACGGAAGCACGGACATGCATAAATCGACTTAGAAAACGACTCCCTGTACCACAGTGTGGTGAAGGGTATGAAAACGACTTTAATCGATTTTTAAAAGATTTTGGGTACATATAATGTTTTCGATTTTTTATATTCGAAAATATTAAAAAAAAATTTAGTACATAAAAAAATTTAAAAACTTTAAATTTTTTATTAAAAATATTTTTTGAATTTACGTAAAATTATTTTTTGGATGTTTCCAAAAATTTTGAATTAAAAAAAAAAAGATTTTTTTTTTAATTTAATTTTTTTAGATTTTAAAACAATTTTGAAAAATTTTAAAACTTGTTTTTAGGATTTTTAGATTTTGAACATGTAGATCAATTACTTTACTATTCACAATATCACCAATAGAGGTTAGTGGAGTATCATCGGTTTGGAATAGCCCAGCTGAATTTGATTTATTTTCCTGAGAATTTTGAAACAATGTTTATTTTATGTTTTGATTTCAATGTAACGATACAAATTTATTTACATGGGGACTAAATATTTACAAAAGGGACTCTGTGCCAGGGAATCTAAAAAAAATCTACGTAGGGATTTTCAAAACGTTTTTTTTTCCAAGCTACAAACTATTTTTTTTTTAATTTAATAATAAAAAATATAATTTTCAATACTTACGAGTCAATGGTCTGGCTGGGTGCTTAGACCACAAATAACGATTCTTAACGGGCGACAAGAACGAATCTCTGGTTATGGGGCTGGAGGCACGTGGCACCGACAAGGCGCGCAATGGTGAGCCAGCACGGAAGGGGGAGCCGGCACGGAGGGGAGCTAAGTCATCCATATCCCACCAGAAGGGATCACGAGTGAAGGCCGAGATGGGGGCATTTGGGTTGGGGTCCAACAAATCCCTGAAGCGGTTTCTGGGGTGGAAGACAGGGAGTCCTGCAGAGGTGGGCAACAGCGACGACGGCGACGATTTTGAAGGAAAACGGTTGAGACATTAGCGCATTTATCCAGTTGAGATGGTGTGTGTGTGTAGGTGTGTGCGAATTATTTTTTTCAATGACAAGTGCGGGTGTGCGCATTTGTTGTTGCCATGAGAGAGCGAGAGCGTGACGCAGCGTTATTATTTTGGTTTTATTATTGTTGTAACATCAGACAGAGAGCGGGGATTAAGAAATAAATAAAAAGATGTATGTGTGTAGTTTCTAATTCGAATTTTGAGTTTGGTTTTTACACTGTAGACATTAAAATGCAAGTTAGAAAAAAAAAGAATAGAGAAAGAAAAAAAGTAAAGAACGAAAAACAGAATCACAATCAAATTTCTTTTGGTCAACAATAATTTTGATTATTTTTCACCATGCGTGCCACCTGTTTCCAAGATTATGATGAAGGGGTTGGAAGGGGTTGTTTGGAAGGTAGGGTGGGTAGAAATAAATCATAAGGACTAAAAGCCAAATATAAATATGGAAATAAAAATGATGCTGAATGATGGACAACCCAGATTTTTAAGGGTGTTAAGAATTTTTTTTTTCTGTAAAGCGAATTAAAAATCAAATTCTCCCTTTGTCTTGAAATAGGAAATTTGATCTGAATTTTTGTTGTTTTTAATCATAAAGCCCTACAAATGTAAATGAAAATCTGTTTTTGTGAAAGAGATTAACTAAAAATACAAAACGAGAAAGGAATTAAAATGTAAGGCATTTGGTAAGCAGTTTTGCTTTTTGGGCAAATGATGGTAATTGCTTAACTACATAAATAGAGAGAAATAATAATAAAACTAATTCTAAAAATAGGATAGGGTATATACATAATTTGAAGAATTTTAAGTAGAAAAAAATTTAAAAAAAAATCGTAACATTTATAAGAAAACAAAAATTAAGCCATGAATTGCTTTTAAGAATAGCGAAGGGCTAAAATAAACCAGTAAGGAAAGTAGTAAAGTCAGACTGGGCCGACTATATGATACCCTTCACCACTTTGGATATATTCTACACAAGTATCCTAACAGACGTCGCGTTTTTGTTATATATGTATATCTGAACCGATTCCAGGGAAACTTGCCAGAATCTAATTTATAATACTTTAGTACGTTAGGTCAATCGGTCTAGCTATGGATCTTTTCACGAAGCTTAGCAACATCATTCTAGACTTAATTCAGTGCCCTATACCGAAATTCGTGCAAATCAAAAGATAAATAAGGAATTTGGTGCACCAATTACATAAAATCGGACGAAAATATACATGGGAGCTATATATAAATTTGAACTGATTTTCACGAAACTTAGCACACGTCATTCTAGACTTAATTCAGAACGCTATGACAAATTTCGGGCAAAATCGGATGAAAATATATATGGGAGCTATATCTAAATCTGAACCGATTTTCATGAAACTTAGCACGCATCACTCTAGACCTAATTCATTACCCTGTGCCAAAATTCGCGCAAATCGAAAGATATATAGGGACTTTGGTACACCATTTACCTTAAATCGGATGAAAATATATATGGGAGCTATATCTAAATCTGAACTGATTTTAACGAAAATTAGGACACGTCATTCTAGACCTTATTCATTACGTTGTGCCAAATTTCGTGCAAATCGAAAGATATTTAGTGACTTTGGTGCACCATTTACCTTAAATCGGACGAAAATATATATGGGAGCTATATCTAAATCTGAACTGATTTTAACGAAAATTAGGACACACCTTCTAGACCTAAATCATTAGGCTGTAACAAATTTCGTGCAAATCGAAAGATATATAGGGACCGTTTACATTAAATCGGGCAAATGTATATATGCGAGCTATTTTTAAATCTGAACCGATTTTTCCCAATTTCAAGAGGGTTCGTCCTTGGGCCAAATAAGTGACCTGTGCCAAATTTCATCCAAATCGGATTATAAATGCGACCTGTACATTTTTCACAAAAATACATGGACGGACGGACAGACAGACGGAGACAGAATCGACTCAAAAAGTGATTCTATGCATATTCTCAAAAGGAACCATGTGTCTATCTCGATTATTTTCGAAAGGCGTGGATTTTTTAAATCCTGTTTTTAGGACCTTCCAAAGGCGTGGATTTTTTAAAGCATGTTTAAGGGCCTTCCAAAGCGTGGATTTTTTTAAATCATGTTTTTAAGGACCTTCCAAAGGCGTGGATTTTTAAATTATGTTTTTAAGGACCTTCCAAAGGCGTGGATTTTTTAAAAAAAAAGAAGGCGCGGATTTTTTAAAAAATATTTTTAAGGACCTTCCAAAGGCGTGGATTTTTTAAAAAATATAAGGCGCGGATTTTTTAAAAAATATTTTTAAGGACCTTCCAAAGGCGTGGATTTTTTAAAAAATATAAGGCGCGGATTTTTTAAAAAATATTTTTAAGGACCTTCCAAAGGCGTGGATTTTTTAAAAAATATTTTTAGTGACCACTAAGAAGGCGTGGATTTATTAAAGAATATATTTCCAAGGACCCACAAGGATTTAATAAAAACTATTTTCTAATGACCTACAAGGCGCGGGATTATTGCAAAATATTTTCCAAGGACCTACCAGGCGCGGGTTTATTGCAAAATATTTTCCAAGGTCTTTCAAGGACATTGAAGAAGGAATTTTTTACAGAATATTTTTTTATGGACCTGCAAGGCGTGGATTTCTTAAAGAATATTTTCCCAAGGACCTCCAGAGGCGTTGATTTATTAGAGAATAGTTTTCCAAGGACCCACAGAGCGTGGATTTATTAAATAATATTTTTCCAAGGACCCACAAGGAGTGGATTTATTAAAAAATATTTTCCGAGGACCTCCAGAGACTTGAATTTATTAGAGAATATTTTTTCAAGCACCTCCAGAGGCGCGAATTTATTGAAGAATATTTTTCCATGGTGCCACAAGGCGTGGATTTATTAAAGAATATTTTTCCATGGTCCCACAAGGCGTGGATTTATTAAAGAATATTTTTTCAAGGACCAACAAGGCGTGGATTTATTAAAGAATATTTTTCCAAGGACCAACAAGGCGTGGATTTATTAAAGAATGTTTTTCCAAGGACCAACAAGGCGTGGATTTGTTAAAGAATATTTTTTCAAGGACCAACAAGGCGTGGATTTGTTAAAGAATATTTTTCCAAGGACCAACAAGGCGTGGATTTATTAAAGAATATTTTTCCATGGTCCCACAAGGCGTGGATTTATTAAAGAATATTTTTCCATGGTCCCACAAGGCGTGGATTTATTAAAGAATATTTTTCCATGGTCCCACAAGGCGTGGATTTATTAAAGAATATTTTTCCATGGTCCCACAAGGCGTGGATTTATTAAAGAATATTTTTCCATGGTCCCACAAGGCGTGGATTTATTAAAGAATATTTTTCCATGGTCCCACAAGGCGTGGATTTACTAAAGAATATTTTTCCATGGTCCCACAAGGCGTGGATTTATTAAAGAATATTTTTCCATGGTCCCACAAGGCGTGGATTTACTAAAGAATATTTTTCCATGGTCCCACAAGGCGTGAATTTATTAAAGAATATTTTTCCAAGGACCCACAAGGCGTGGATTTATTAAAGAATATGTTTCTAAGGACCTTCAAGGCGTGGATTTATCAGAAAATATTTTTCCAAGGACCTACAAGGCGTGGATTTATCAGAAAATATTTTTCCAACGACCTACAAGGCGTGGATACATCAGAAATATTTTTCCAACGACCTACAAGGCGTGGATACATCAGAAATATTTTTCTAAGGACCACCAGAGGTGTGGATTTTCAAAGGACATACAAGGCGTTTAAAATTTTATAAAAAAACTATTGTTGTTCAAGTTTATCAAGATAAATCCTAAGAGCTTTCAGAGCTTTTGCATTAAGGCATGGCTTTAGGCAGGCAATTCATGGCATACTTTTAGGCGGCATTTTTTTCTTTTCAAAATTCTTCAAATTATTTAAAGGCACTACTTAAAAAAAAACTTAAAAGAAAATAAAAAAATAAAATCGATAATAACGTAGAAGAGTTTGCATTGATGCTGCTGGCAGCTGGTACGGCTAAATAAAAACGTAAACCAAATTCACAACAAAGATTCAAAGAACACGCTGCAAGCCCATTCAACATTAAACAGATATCCAATTGAATTTTCTTGGTATTTTTGAAATTATTCCTTCAGAATGCTGGCGTTTTTTTTTTTGTATGGGGAATAATTTCTACACACCAAAAATTTGGAAAACAAAAACGACATTTAGGCATTTAGGCCATTCAATTCAAAAGACGCCAAACGAACGTAACAATTAAATTAATCTTTTTTTAGCATTCCAAACATGTTCACGAAGGCCTGCCAATTTGACAGAAATTTCGCTCAAACAACATGAAACGTATAATTTGGAAAAATTTGCGATTCGTCTTTACCATCAGCATCGAAGGAAACTTCATTGGGGCGGGGACCCCAACGACCGGGCTTAACAGGAGTGGGACTTGGAGAGCCAGCACGCTCAACTACTACTCTAGGCTTTTCTTCATCGGACTTACTGGCAAAGAGTTCATCCAAGGGTTCCAACGAGCTGGCACGGAACAATGGCCGGGTGAAGGGGGCCAAGCTGGCGGCACGATCGAACACGGAGGGGGCACGATCGAATAGAGATGGGGCGCGAGAGGCACGAGATGCACTTGGGGGAGGGCCAGCCAAGTAGGATGGTGGTGGCACATAGGGTTCACTGCCAGCGCGCCTTACACGACCAGCGGGAGAGGGAGAACGGCGAGCTGGAAAACAACACAAACAAAAACATAAATTAATAAATTTGTTTTGTTAAAAATTCTTTTTAATTTAATGAAGTGTTAAACAATTTTTAAACAACATAAAGTTTATACAACACGCACACACACTCATACACAGAGAGACAGAGAGAGAGAGACACCTGTGACACATGAGCACAACACATATGTGTGTGAAAATATGCAAAATGGAAACATTAATACAAATTGCAAAACAGTTTTGTTGTTGTTTTTTTTTCATTTTTTCAACATGCCACCATGATAAATTGAGTGGGACCAAACTCGAACCTGGGTCCCGAACTTATGTAAATAGTTTTCATATCAACATTTTGCAAATTCCTGGGAATTTTCGTGTCAGTTTGTGTGTCTGTAATTTTATGCATAACCATTCCGTTTCGAAATAATTGTGTCGCAACATACACACATATATACACACATAAATGTCACACAGATGTGTCTATGGTCAATGAATAACACTGTGATACAAAACAAAACTAAAATTTTTTTCAGGAGTTCTAATGTACCAATACTGTTTAGTTGGAGTCCCTGGACCACGAATATACCTTTGGTTTTTCTGGGTCACTTCGAAAATTTGTTTTATAACGGTAAATGTAGGAAAAAACGTGGTTCCATAGATTTTCACTTTGAAACGCGTATAACTTCTTTTCTTTCTAACGGATTTATATTATTCTTTTTTTCATTCGAAGAGTAGAATTTTATCTTTCAAACAAGATATATATTTGGTAAATCGGTTGAGGATTGGCTGAGTTACAGCGGTTGAAATGTGAAAAAATACGCATAAAATTACAAAATTTATTTTTCTTCGGACTGTACGATGAAATTATGATATCAAACCATATAAGTTTTATTATATTACGGGGAAGAAAATTAAATTAGCTTTCGAAAATGATAAAAATCAAAAAAATCGGTTAAAAAATGGATGACTTATGCACATTTTTGTATTGATTCTATGCATATTCTCTAAAGGAAATATGGGTCTGTATCGTTTCCTGTTACAAACCGTTATGTTTGTAGCAGGCAAAAGGAAACGAGATAGACCCATATTTCCTTTAGAGAATATGCATAGAATCAATACAAAAATGTGCATAAGTCATCCATTTTTTAACCGATTTTTTTGATTTTTATCATTTTCGAAAGCTAATTTAATTTTCTTCCCCGTAATATAATAAAACTTATATGGTATGATATCATAATTTCATTGTACAGTCCGAAGAAAAATAAATTTTGTAATTTTATGCGTATTTTTTCACATTTCAACCGCTGTAACTCAGTCTATCCTCAACCGATTTACCAAATATATATCTTGTTTGAAAGGAAAAATTGTACTCTTCGAAAGAAAAAAAGAATAATATAAATATGTTAAAAAGTAAATGTGTTATTCAAGTTTCAAATGGAAAGTCCATGAAACCACGATTTTCTCTATATTTACCGTTATAAAATTAATTTTCGAAGTGACCCAGAAAAACCAAAGGTATTTTCGTGATCCAGGGACTCCAACTAAACAGAATTGGTACATTAGAACCCCTGAAAAATTTTCGTGTCGCACAGTGTAATTATTCAGAAAAAAGGCAATTATGTATGAACCATATATGGGGAATATGAACATAAAATGATTAGGAAAAAAAACTACACACAAATAAGTTATGCAAAAATAAGTTATACAAAATTACAAAAATATATTTATAAAAAAAATTAAATAAAAAATATATAAAAAAAATATACAAAAAATTGATTCTAAATTTTTGTGAATTTACACAGTTTCTTGTGGCACATTTGAAAAGGATTAAATAGACGAACAGTGGAGTTTTAATAGAATATTTTCCAGGGATCCACAAAACGTGGCTTTTTTTAAGATTTTTCTTTTCAAAAACCTACAAATCTTTGAATTATTTAAAAATATTTTTCTTGGACCTAAAGAGCGTTGGGGGTATTTTGGAATATTTTTCTTGGACCTCCGAATATTTATTACAAATAATTTGCTAGGATATCCAAGATGTGGATTTTTTCAAAGAATATTTTTCCGGGGATCCAAAATGTATGGATTTTTTTAAGAGTATTTTTCTAGGGATCCTCAAGGCTTGGATTTTTAAAGAATATTTTTCTAATGACCAAAAGGCGTGTATTTTTAAAAGAACTTATTTTCCAAGAATCTCAGAGGGCGTGTTTTTTTTAAAGAATATTATTTTAAGGACCCTCAAAGGGTGGCATTTTTAAAGAATACTTTTCTAAAGATCTACACCGTGTGTATTTTATAAAGAAAAATTTTCTGGGACCTACAGTAGTGGATTTTTCAGAGTAAACTTTTCCAAGCTTCGAAAAATGCTTGGATTTTTAAAGGATATTTTTCTTGTGACCTCTAAGACTTGGATTTTTAAAAGAATATTTTTCTAGGGATCTACAAGACGTGGATTTTTTAAAGATTAAATTCTCTGGGATCTACAATCCGTGGATTATTTTAGGAATATTTTTCCTGGGACCTGCTAGGTTATATGAAGAATATATTTCCAACGAATTACAAGGCGTGGTTTTTAGAATATTTTTTTAGGGATCTACAAGGCGTGGTTTTTTAAGAATATTTTTTTAGGTATCTACAAGGCGTAGTTTTTAAATAATATTTTTCCGAGACGTGGATTTCTTAATGAATATTTTTCCACGGATCTAAAAGTCATGGATTTTTTATAGAAATCATTAATTTTGTAGAGAATTTTTTCTACAGATCTACAAGGTATGGTTTTTTTTAAAAAAATATTTTTCCATGGATCTACAAGGTTTGTATTTTTAAAGAATATGTTACAAAACGTGATTTCTTTAAAGAACATTTTTGCAGGGAATAGTTTTTACAAAAAATTATTTTTAAAAAATAGTATTTTTTATCAAAAGTTAACAAAGACTAGATTTTTTAAAAACTATTTTCCCAGGAACCCAAAATGCGTGGATTTCATAAAGAATATTTTTTTACAAAAAGGGAATTTTTTAGAGAAAAAAATTATTGGCACTTACAAGACGTGGATTTCTTAAGGAATAATTTAAGGACTGAATTGGTTAAAGAATTGTTTTTCAGGGATCTACAAGACATCGAAATTTTAAAGGGCTCTAGAGACGTGAATGCGTATATTTTAAGGAATATTTTCTATTATCTAAAGATCTAAGAACTTAAAGATTGAAAAAATGATTCACTTTCTGGCCTTAAAGTTCAAGGATCGAAAAGGCAAAGAATTTATACCAAAGGCGAAATCGGGGAAAAAATCATTGGTTTTTTTTTTAATTCGAATTTGTTGCTGGTAACACTAATTTTCGTCGCTATCGCATGAAGAATATTTTTTATATATTTATTTGTAAAATATAAATATATAAAAAATCATATTCATGTATTAGGTTTATTAATTAATATATATCTTTGTAAAAAATTTACGTTTCGTGTCTATTTTAAAAGTTGTAACGTATGTCGAACAAATATGGCATGTATCAGATATTATTTATACGCTATGGTGTACGACAAATATTTCACATACATTATGGTTATACATAAAATATTTATTACTTTTTTAATATAATTTGTAATGATTTAGATCCTGATCTAATTTTTATACAATTATTTCTATTTTCAGATACATTTTCTTTCCAGGCATAAATAATAAAATTAATATTGGTCCACACAAAAAGGTATGTAAACAAATATTATATTAATGAAATCCATTTCATCTATATGGTGTCATCATAGGTGTGTGTGCGCCGTATAAAATGTATGTAAATTAAGATTAGTACTTACCACACAACTTAACTTCAAAATACAAAAAAAATCTAAGTCGTTGGTATAGCAAAAAACAAACATTGATATACACAAAATAATAAAATTTAAAAAAAATAATAATGAGACACAGACATAAACATTAAACAACATTTACAATCATATACTAGCATTCAACATAAATCAAAGGATATATGTATACCACAAGAAAAAATTAAATATTTTTTCTTAATACAAATAAAAAAACTTCGTTAAGTTCGTAAGGGAGGAATTTCTTTATACCCTGCACATTTAAAATACCTAAGATCGATTGAGATTTGCAAATGGAACAGACTCTCAGGTTGGAAGATTCAGCTACAACCTTGAACATACACAAAATCCCTTAAAATACCCAACACAATGGCATATAATTATCATTTGTGGTAGCAGAATTTGAAAATCAATGAGAATCCAGAATATGAAATTATAGCCAATTCGGTTGATAAACGTTCCTAAAATTCACAAAATAACGAATAAGGCAGTATTAGTCAATATTTATCATTTTTGTTTGGGAGACTTTATACCCATAACGAAACCTAAACCCAGTAAGCGGATAAGACCGACCATACAAAAACTACTACGAAAAACTAACTTTCTGCTGTTCTATATTCTGAGTGTGGGTAATATTTTGCTATACTTGCCCCATTTTAAGTGATTATAGGTCAACAGCTCCACTTTCCAAACCTGGTATATTTTGGAAATCATGTTTTCCCGAGGCGAATATTTACGCCATAAAATAAAAATTTGATCACTTTAGGTTTTGGTTGATTTGACTCTTGGAATATTGTGCGATCATCATCTAAACGGCCGTTCTAAGTATTTTATTAAATCCCCTTCACCGTGTAAAATATGTGACGTTCTGAATATAGCAATGCGACTAGAAAATATGACACTAATAAATTTTCGATTCATTGCGCTCTTAAATGTCATTTTAGCATCACTGGAAAATATATGCGTTATCCTTGACCATAACCGGAACATCCAGTAAAATTTCAAAGTGATCAACACGACATTTCCGGCCGGGTAATAGTAATACTAAACAATATTATAACACATAAAAACCATTAAATATTGACGTATAACTCCCATATCTGAGAACATGCAAGACTATAATTGGTTTAAAGATCAACCATTTCTCTTGGATATACTATCAACTTTTCGGGTCAATGTCATTCAGGAG